GGAGCTGGAGCACAGGCCATGGAGGAACGCTGCTTACTGGCCTGCTCCCCTGGCCCCTCTCAGCCTGCTTTCTTATGCAACACAGGCCAACCTGTCCATGGGTGGCACCACCCACAGTGGGCTGGGCCCTCCCACATCACTCATCAAGAAGATGCCCCTCAGACATGGCCACAGGCCAGTCCAATAGAGGCAATCCCCCAATTGAGGCTCTCTCAACCCAGGTGTGTCAAATTGACACTAAAGCTATCTAGCACACTCCCCTAGACATCATCAACAGTTCATAGCTCCTCATTTAGGGGTGGGGGTTCATGAACATCTCCCCACTCCATGCTGTAATGTTGACTGACTTAATCCTGTATAGGCAACCACAGCTTCTGTGAGTTCATGAGTGCAGTGGTCCTGTCATGTCCATAACATACAGTTTTGCTCTGGTCCTTCCTGATGTCTGGCTCTTATAATTTTTCCACCCCTCTTCTATGATGGTCCCTAAGCTTTGGAAAGGGGGTGTGATATGGATGTTCCACTTGTAGTTGAGCCCTCTAATGACATTTATTCTTTGCACTCTGACCAGTTGTATGTTTCTGCACTAACCACAAAAGAATGTCACCTATAAGATCTGAGAACTGAACTAATCTGTGGTTATAGAGATACAATTTAGATGGCAGTTTTATTCTCTGTCCATTTAGCAGAATAATATCAGTAAGTTCATCTCTGGGGCCTGTGAACTCCTCAACCATGAATTCTTGGCCAGATTTTCAGCATGAGGCATGTATTTCCTCCGGTGGAGTGAGCCTGAAATCCAGTCAGAAGGTGTTTGGTTACCCCATAGCATTCATGCTGCTATCACTTCTGTGAGCATATTTTGCCACATGGTCATTATTTAGTTAACAGGGTTCACAGCTAGCTAAGGCTGTTGATGACTTTTATCCCCTAGTAACCTACATACCACTTTCCAGTATTGTGAAAGTTAGCCAGGAGAGAGGAAGCTTCCCAGTCAGTACCAACTTGATTTCTCCATGTCATGTGAGCAATGTGTGTGGTATCTTGAGCAGTAGCATTTTGTGTAACATCAGGTTCTTTCAGTGACTAATTTATTATGAAAGGAGCAGTTGTCATTGATACAAACTGAAAACTTTTTAAGTAATGCTTTTCCTAAGGGCTACATTGAGATAGAGATTGCAATTTACATTACGAGCTGTTTGTTTATAAGTGATTTTCATATAATTTAGTAATACGAACACACAAGGCTGTTGTCTGTAGTTCTTCTTGGCATATTCCATTAACAAGGGACTGATAAAGGTATGGAAGCAGCAGCATCAAGCATAGCACTATTTGTGGCCTGAATGCCTGTGGTAGAAACAGCATTGAACCACCACATTTTCCCAGTTTGTCCAGACTCAGCCACCTACTGATGCTCAGCTTGAGTTTGCACTTGAGATAAAAATCTATTTGCTGTCCTTGAGCTGAGTGAACATAATGGGAAGTGTTAGGAGTAGAAGTAAACAATAGAGAGTCAACATGGAATCTACATGAAGGAGGCTAAAGGTCTGTACTCTATATTCCCTTGGTACTAGCCCATGGTAACCTTATGGGATGACTATACAGGAGTCAGTGTGTATAGCTGAAGGTATATAACAATAGACAGTACCAAACAGGAGAAACCTCCCTCTGAGCTGATGGCCAGTGTAGTCTAAGAGACTCCCAAAATTACACAGATGATTGTCACAGCCCTAGATTGCCTCCCAGAACTTGAAGGTAAGACCCTATTGCTGAAGACAGGGCATACTTTGGATACAGGATTTGGAGCAGTGGAGCTGGAACTCTCCCGGAAGCTGCCTCCCCTGAAGGTTAGCTCTTATAGCTTTGGCGAGCTGCTAAGGGAGAACATCAATCAATGGTCCAACCCCAGCTTTAAGGCCTAACAACCACAACAATGACTGGCATAGCAAACTGTATTGGAGGTAGAAGTGGCATTTTTATCTTGGGGGTAATCAACAGCTACATAATTGGACTTAAAGCTCACTCAATGGGAGGAAATTCATGTGTGGTACTGTAAACATAGCTAAATACACATGACTGGAGAGATCATAGATCCAAGAAAACCCCAAGACAAATGTAATTTTTTACTATGTGCAAAATATGGCTCCTTATTTAGAATACTTAGACAAGTATCCCAGTCACCACTCATTAAAGAAGCTTCTTTTGCAACAGATGGAGATTATTACAGAGTCTCACAGAGATGGTCTATGAAATGCCCAAGTCTAAGTGACACATCTACAATGCAACCTCTACACCTAAGGCTCATAGAACATAGTGGAACAAGGGGTAGAGAGAACACTAATGCATCTCTCAACTCTCATGAATGATGCTCCTTCATGTAACAGAGGGCCATGAACACAAAAGGACACAAATGGCCAAAGTGTAGAGAATAAGAGTTTGCAGAGTGTGGGTCCTTGGGCAAGACTCTAATATTAAACTCTACCCACATAGGGCTCAAGGGTCCATGCAGAAAAGGGGGCAGAAAAGTTGTAAGAGCCAGGGAGGAGGTGCAGGACCATATGGAAATAGAGTCCTTACAGGCTCCTGGGACTTCACTCATGTAAATCTACAGCAATGATGTCAGCATGCACAAGAACCATTCAAATTCAAGAAGAAAAACCCAGCACAGAACTGTGGAAATGGGCAGCAGGCCCCAATCTTAGCTGAAGAACTTTTGGTAGCTGATTACTGCTAGGTGAGGACAAGCTGATCTTCTTAAAGGGAGGGACTTTACATAGGATGAACTTCCATTGAGGGACATCTGGGGACACTAACTTGGCTCAGTAGGCCTTAACACAAATGACAGAATGCATTGATTCCAGTGCAGGAGTGGGATAGTGCCAATGGGAAAGGGAGTATAAAAATGATTAAGATGTTGTGCATGAAATATGCAAAAATTCAATAAAAAATTTACAAAAAAATTCTCCAGCAAAAGGACAGGCCTTTTCCTCTATGATGGCTGTCTTCATGACTAGATAGCTCAGACAAAGATAGCACATTTTTTTTTACCAGGGAAAACTGTGCTGTTTATTTACTGTTCCATATGTCTAAAATAATATCAGAAAATATCATTACATATTTGTTTCTACCCTTACATAGCCCATCACTTGTGTGTTTCTATCTTTTTCATTTATCTTTCATATATCTTTTCTACTATAAAATAGTGTGTTATTTGGGCAGGGACAGGAAAGGAGTTAAGATAGGGTTTATTGTAGCTGAGGCTAGCCTCAAACTTGCTAAGAGTGATTTTGAACTCCTGATTTTTCTGTTCCCATCTTCCAAGTTATGGGATTTAGCTGTGTGCCACCACACCTAGCACTAATGTGATTTTAAATTGCAATAATTCATCCCATAGATTATTTATTGAAGTTTGAGGAATTTCATTCTGAGGTTCTATTTTTGCTCTTCTAAAACATTTTGGTGGCAATTTGTAGTTGAAATAATAATGGAACAGTAAGATGGTTCAGTGTAAGAAAGTATTTGCTGTGGAACTTGATGACCTGAGTTTCATCCCCAGAACCTCACAGAAAAGCTGGATGTCATAGCTGGTGTCTAATCTCAGCCCCAGCACTCACACAGAGGTCAGATGGGAGCTGGAGATACCAGAACCAGCTAGAAGACCATTAACACAGTGCAGTCACAAAATCACAATAACCTGCCTCAAAACAAGGTGGAAGAGAGAACCAACCCCACTTAGCTGTCCTTTGACCTCTACATGCACATCGTGGCATGTGTGTGGCAGTACATACACACAAACATACACACACAACAAAATACATAAAAAGAATGTTTGGGCTGAGAGAAGATGCAGCCATTAAAGGCTCAGGCTCACAACCAAAAGAGGGAATGTTTTATTGACTTTTTGTACAAAATGTATATAAAATACATATGTATACATACTTTTATAATTACTGTGTGTATAATGCATGTATCACTGTATACATTTAAGCATATATGTTTTATGCATATGTATACATATCATTAATTTGATGGTTGGATACCAGTTCATTAGCATTTTCTAGGAATTTGAGAAAGAGTGAAAAATCAGCTGGAATCATGCTGGAAACTGAAGAGCACTGAAGATGTTTAGACCTGGCCATTTTTCAAGATAACCTCTTACAGACCACATTTGAACTTGAAAATCTTGTCCACATTATTTCAATCCTTATGTGTAAGGAACCTTTGACTTAGTCATCATTATCCACATTTTAGTGTTGGGAGCGGAAGCTGAGGGGGTAAATGATCCAGGTTTGAACAGTAGCTGAGATTCAGCAATCTTGTAAAATGATTTTGGTTAAGATAGGCTGTGATTGACTACCACCTTCAGTGAATTAGATTGAAGCTTAGTTCATATTTTGAAAAGCACTGGAAAAATATATTTCTACAGTTTGAATTTTGATGAACACTCCCACTACATTGAAATTTTTCTTAAATAAAAATCTTTCCAACAAAACACTTATGATTGTCACTTTCCATTTTTTTTTTCCCTTTAGATAAAATTTTAAAAGTAGAGCTGGTGAGGTGGCTCAGCAGGTAAAGGCACTTGCTGCCAAGTCAACTACCACATGCATGCTGTGGCTCTTATACATGTTCTCCCTCTCTCTCTCTCTCTCTCTCTCTCTCTCTCTCTCTGACTCTACCTCTGTCCCCTCAGGGCAAAAAGCTTCCTCTTTGTTCCCCTACCCACCAGCTGAGGTCTCTAACTCTTCTTTTGCTTTCCACCTAATCCGTTGCTATGGGAACCAAACACTCAAAACCTCAGGGTCTGATGCCTTTGGCCTGCTTACTTAAATCCTTAAAAAAGCTAGGATTATCTCACACTATCAGATCAAAACACCTAAAATTCTTGTGCACCATTTCCTGTAAATAAATAAAAATTTAAATTTATAAAATATAAAACCTTATTGATATTTCTCATGCCCTAACCATCTCAGGCTCTCAGTTGCTTGTTGTCATTATAGGGAAGCATGTTTAACACCTGGAAACCCATGTGGGTTGTACTGTTAGAAGATGGAATTGAGTTTTATAAGAAGAAAAGCGACAATAGCCCCAAAGGAATGATCCCCCTGAAAGGAAGCACTCTGACTAGCCCCTATCAGGACTTTGGCAAAAGAATGGTGAGTTGACATCACTAACTGCAATGACCTTTGTGTCACCTACTGAACTTGAAGTCTGTCTGCATGTGAGCAGTGCTTCCTCCACAAGTAGCCTCTTCTTTGCCAGAATAGGTTTGAATCAACTTCTCTGTTTCATGATGGGCCTCAGACCTTAAAAGGGGTCATTTCTAATGGAATATATTTTGATTTACAGTTTGTGTTGAAGATCACTACAACCAAACAGCAGGAGCACTTCTTCCAGGCAGCCTTCCTGGAGGAGAGAGATGCTTGGGTTCGGGACATCAAGAAGGCCATTAAATGCATTGAGGGAGGCCAGAAGTTTGCAAGGAAATCTACAAGGAGGTCCATTCGTCTGCCAGAGACCATTGACTTAGGGTGAATATCTGTGTTTGCTCTCCCCACCTTTTAGTTTTCCCTTCTTCTCCCATCTCTTATGTCTGCATCCACTCTGCTGAGCTGACACTGGCTCTTGATAGAATATGATGCTTACTTGACCCTGAAGAAGTGATTGCAGTGTTAAGGCCTCGGAGCTGAGGAGAAAGGCTTGTAGAGTATGGAGAGGAGAGAAGAGAGGAAAGAAAGAAGAGAGAAGAAAGAGGAGAGAGAGATCAAAAAAGAGGAAAGAAATTAGGGAAAGGAGAGAAAAAGAAGGGAGAAGGGCAAGAGAAGAGAGAGAGGATAAAAGAGAAAGAAAGAAGAGAGGGAGAGGGAGATTGAGAGAGCGGTTAGTCTTGAAAGCTGCAGAATCTTTACTATGTATCTAAGCAGACAAACTTCCAAGTTCAAATTCACGCTTCCACTCAGTCAAGAAGGGCTAGTCAGGATGAGCACTTACTGCAGATGGAAGCTGACTTGATTACTAGCTTCTGATGTAGGCTATTAATAGCTTGGGAACTGCAGGTGACAGCTGTAACATGAAGACTGTCAGGGAACCTACTGAAAAATCTCACCCCTGATATGGGCTGGGAATGGAGCTCTTCTCTGATTTTGTTCCTTTCTCCAGGAACCTCTTTCTTTTTGGAAGTTTTGCTTTTTGTGTTAAGCATAGCTTGAAACGAGAGACACTGGAAAGAACGCTGGCACGCTGGCTACTTTTGCCTGGCAAGCATTTTGTTTACATGAGGAGGGGTTAAAAGGAGTCTCTGAGAGGGGACAAGAAGCATACTTTCTGTACAATCAACATGAAGCTTGACCTGTCACAGGGGTAAAGGCTGAGTGTAAATCTCCATGAGGCTCAGCAGCCTTTCTCACTTTAGCAGTTTGTTGGTAAGGACTCAAGAGGAGATATCTAATGTTGGCTCCAGACATCATGTGACCACATATCCTGGTCAGGGCTGTCAAAAGTAAATGAGAATGATGCTCAAACTACATGCACCCACAGGATGGATGAAAACTGGGCTTTTGTTTTGTGATTTAGAAACTATCTTATGCAGCTAATTTTGGTTTATTTCTCCAGGGGTAAAAAGTGAAAACTCACTATTTTGCCTTATCTCATCACTTTCAGAAGAAGAGTTAAGCTTAGAAAAACTTCTCACTTTGTTGGAGGCAAATGTCTGCAACAAATGTTCTCCTGACAACCTCCTAAGAATTGGGAGACTATGTTTGTTATCTTTCTACTGCTTCAACAATGCCTAAAATAATCAACTTAGAAAAAGGGAAGATTATTTTGGCTCATGTTTTGGAGGTTTCAGACCATGCTTAGTGTGATTCATTGCTTTAAGGCTCCCAGTGGTTGTGGTAAGGTAGCACACCATAGCAGGTATGCATAACATAACAGATCTGTTCACTCCGTGGTTTGGATATGAAAGAAAGTTTGGCATCCCATTATCTCCCCAAGGGTATGTCTCCCAGTGACTTAAAAACTTCCATTAGGATCCATTTCTCTCTCTCTCTCTCTCTCTCTCTCTCTCTCTCTCTCTCTCTCCCTCCCTCCTTCCCTCCCTCCCTTCTTCCCTCCTTCTTAGAGCTAGAGAAAGATGCTTTGGGCCAAGAAAATGGCTAAGTAAGTAAAGGTACATGCTACTAAGCTGTGGTATTCTAATTTTCTCTCCTCTCTCTCTCTCTCTCTCTCTCTCTCTCCTCTTTTTCTCCATGTGTATATGAGTACACCTGTGTGGGGGTGCATGTGTGTGCATGTATGCATGTGAATATGGAAGTCAGAGGTTCATTTTAGTTACCTTCCTCAATTGGTCTCCACCTTATTTTTTCAACAGGGTCTCTTACTGAATCTGAAGCACACTGATTCAGTTAAATTAGCTGGACAGCTGGCCCCAGGGATCTTCCTGCCTCTGCCTCCCCAGTGCTGAGATTACAAGCTGCTATGTTGCTTTTTGGATGCAGGGGAACCAAATTCCGGTCCTCAGTCTTTCATGTCAAGTACTTTACTGACTGAATTATTCCCACAACCCTGGGCCACATTTCTTGACAGTTCTGTCACCTCTGAATAGCACCAAACTGGGAACCAAGACATTAAAGTACGGGTCTATGTGGGACCTGCCAGGTCCAAATTATAGCAGGGACTTTAAAGGTCTGTATTCTTTCCTAGAAAATTTGCCATAGGAACTCTTAATCTTTGGCACTTAACTGAGGGCAACTTTCTATGTTAAGCACTAGGAATTAAATGAACAAAGAGTTTGCAGAGCACATGATTATGTATGTTGGAATGCTATGCTTTAACTACTCTTCTGGCAGAGAGATTAGGCTCAGTGGCTACTCCAAGGAATGGGGAAGCTTGTGCTCATGACACTCCGTTCAAGATGGAAACTCCTGGAGACAAGTCACCATTCTGAAATCCTCCTTGTCACCTCTGTTTTTATCTCTGAACAGTGCTCTGTATTTGTCTATGAAAGACCCTGAAAAAGGAATAAAGGAACTGAATCTGGAGAAGGACAAGAAGATTTTTAATCACTGCTTCACAGGTAAAAGGTCTTGTAATTCTAAAGTGGAGCAACTGGGAGGGAATGTAGAGCTCTTTCTGCTCTTTGTGTGACGTGAGAGAATGGAGCGCAGTGGATGCACAGGATCATGGAGCAGACTGAGTTCACTATGAGAGAACCCAAGGTTAAAGGAACAAGACGGTTTCCTATGGAGATTTAGGTGTAAGATCTAGCCCAGACTTATTTTCTGTTAAATGTGTTCCTGAGTCCCAGAGTATTTTTCATAAACTCTTCTTGAGTTCTTCCCATGGAAGCTCACAGTAGGTTTGAAAACTCTCCATGGGTGGAACTTTCATGGGAGTCAGGGTGACCTCAGCTGGGAGATGAAGACTGAGGCTGAGAATAGGATGCAGGTAGTGCTGACATGTGATAAAGGGTCAGGTGAGAGAGACTGGACTGAGGTTCTTTCAGGCTTCAGCATACCTAGTCAAATAAACATTGACTCAAGAGTGAAAACATTTAAAATGAAGGCCCAGAACAGATGCAGCTGAGGCTGAAGGTCACTTAAACTCTCTGAGTTTTAATTTTCTCAGTTTTCAAATGGAATTGGTAATTAATACCTCTTTTGCAGGATTGCCGTGAGGATTAAAGGTAGAAACACTGTATCACTTACTTAGCTTATCTTTGTAGAGAAAAAAAAGTTGTAAGATTTTTCATGTGTAGAATTCATGGAAGGCTCATTGTCTGACATTCTTGCTTCTGCCTCGGGTGGAACACACCTGCTACTCTGGCTTGGGCAACCCAGGACAAGCTGCTATCTTGGTTGTCATTGGCTGGCTTTGTAAAGAACCTACTGTTATGAATGCAAAGCTTCATTGTATCTTGCTAATACGCCAACTGATTGATTAATTTCATCCTTTTTGCTATCTTGTCTTGAGGTAAAAGCTTAATAAAATGGCCACTGACGGTTCATTAGGTATGGTAATGAACACAAGTAATGTAATTAAGTTTTAACTGAGAACACACATCTCATTATGTTATTTTCTGCTTAAAAACGTGTAGTGTCTCTTCATTGACAGATTTCTTGATGTGTCATCAGACCCTGCCCATTGCCCTACAATTTCCTCCTCTTCCTGATTCCTTTTGCCTTCTTTTCATCAACTCTACCTGCATTCTCACAGAGCTTGTGCATGCCTGTGTGACTGCGTATACTGCTGCCTCCTTTCCTATGCTGGATGCTTTCTCCTATCCCAAATATTTGCAAACTTTGCTCTTCAATTTTTAAGTCTCAGCCCAGTTATTTCCTCTATAAATCTTTTTTTTATGACTGTGCATGGCAGCTCCGCCTTTACTCTTTCCCTTTTGACATTATCTGACTCAGTCATTGTATCACAGTATCGACTAATAGCAGAATTCTACAATTTCAATGCTTACTTTTCAGTCTCTTTAGATTCTTTGAATGAATCTGCCCACTACTCATTTAGAATCTAATAGATGCTCAATAAGTGTTCCTTAAGGGAATAAATATATGAGTTAGTAAAAATGATTTCTTTTATGTGTTGCTTTTTCAAGCAGCATGTAAATTTTTTTTCAAACTTTTATGATTCCTTTGTTTCCTAGTACCTGTCTCATTAATTTTGTCTTTCCTCCTTGGAGTGACAGGGAAGATGAGTCAAAATGGATATTTGACTGCTCTGGAGCCAGTGTGTGGAGTCAGTGGCTTGTGCCTTGGGAAATAGAGATAACTCTCCCTCTGATGTTTGTATCCAGGTAGTGGTGTCATTGACTGGTTGGTTTTTAGCAATTTGGTTCGGAATCGCCAGGAAGGCCTCATGATCTCATCGTCACTGCTCAGTGAAGGGTACTTACAGCCTGCTGGGGACCTGTCCAAGAGTGCAGCAGATGGAATTGCTGAAAACCCTTTCCTGGACAACCCTGATGCTTTCTACTACTTTGTAAGTGAGAAAAGCTACCTACTTGTTCTCTCTGAAGCAGGTCCAGGGCAGATTTTTGATGGATTTCAGTTCGTAGCCAATTTCAATGCAAAGAGAGTACTGTTGGTTGAAGTGGCTGGAGAAGAGGTCAACCTGGGATAAAAAAGAAATAATAAGCTTGTGAGATGGCTCAGCAGATAAGGGCACTTGCCTCCAAGCCTTATGACCTGAGTTCCATGCACGGAACCCACATGGCAGAGGGAAGGAACTAACTCCTACAAGTTGTCCTCTGGCCCAACAACCCTCTGTGGCATGCCCACGCATCCACATTCATACAAACACACAGATAATTAAAAAAATGTTTATTTATGGGGCTAGAGAGATGGCTCAGCGATTAAGAGCACTGGTTGCTCTTGCAGAGGACCCGGTTTTGGGTCCCAGCACCCACATGGCAACTAAGAACTCTCTGTTACTCTGCGGGTATCACATGACATGGGTGCACTTAAATATATGCAGGCAATATGCTCATACACATAAAATAAAATAATAGATAAAATATTTTAAAATATTTATTTAATGTATATGAGTATTTTGCCTGCATGTATGTATGCACTATATGCATGCAATCCCCATGGAGGCCAGAAGAAGACCCTGGAAGTGGAATTACAGGTAGTTGTGAGCCATGTGGGTTCAGGTCCTCTGCAAGACCATCCAGTGCTCTTAAATGCTGAGCCATCTCTCCAGCCCTAATAAATAAAGAAGGAAATACTATAAGCTGTGAAGACTTGAGACTCATAAAGTCTCTACATTAGCACTTTTAGACTTAACAACCATTCCCCTCAAATATTACCCTGTCTAAGTGAATCAGTTTAAAGGAACTTACTTAAATTGTTTTCTTTAAATTCACTATCAAATTCTTATTAGCTTAATTTTTGTTCTAAGCAATAATTCATTTACTAAAATGTATTAGGCTCTAGTTATCTTTATTTTTGTTATAAGCAATAATTCATTTACTAAAATGTATTAGGCTCTAGTATACAACAATGTTCTCCTAGACAAAGGAGATACAACCATAAAAAGGCAAAAATACAAGGCCTCAAGCAATGTCCATTTTAAGAGGGCCATCTATACATAAAATCATGTGTGCTAAGCTGGTTGTATGCTTTTAAATAATACATTTAAGGGGCTGGAGTGATGTCTCAGCAGTTAAGAGCAATGGCTGCTCTTGCAGAGGACCTGGGTTCGATCCCCAGCACCCATATGGTGGCTACGAATCATCCTTAACTCCAGTTCCAGGGGAATTCGAAGTTTTCTGACCTCTGCAGCATTGCATGAAATAGGTACACTCACATACATACAGGCAATACACTCATACACATAAAATAAAAATAATAAATTTTTAAAAGTCCATTTTAAAAAATATAATACATTAAAATATGCAGCTGTGCTTAGGCATACCACTTCCTCCAACCATATTTTGTACTTCATATGTTACACTAACTATAGACTGGGCAACATTGTATTAAATAACACTAGCCTAGTTTTGGACCATGCAACCATGGATTTCTAGGGGAATTTTGACACTTTTGTTTCTATTTTGAATCAGAATATAGAAGTTAAGAAATCTACTTTAAAAAGACCCATAAAGTCTCTACATTAGCACTTTTAGACTTAACAACCATTTCCTCAAATATTGCCCTGTCCAAGTGAATCAGTTTAAAAGAACTTAAATTATTTTCTTTAAATTTATTAAAAAAAATTTAAAAACCTTATTTTAATTTTTATGTGTATGAGTGTATTGCCTGCATGTATGTAAGTGCACCTGTGTTGTGGAATGCCCACAGAGATCAGAAGAGGATGTCAGATTCCTCCAGAACTGTAGTTACAGATGCTTGTTAAGCACCATGTGTATGCTGGGAATTGAACCTGGGTCCTCTGCAAGAGCAGCCAGTGCTCTTAACTGCTAAGCCATCTCTCCAGCCCCAAGACCCATCCTTCTTATAAAAATGAATATCCCAGACAGATCTTCATTTCACTTTGGGGGAAGTTCCATTGTCAGTACTTTGGTCTATAAATAAAGGTCACTAAGGTGTCTTCTCAGAGACTCCTCCTCTGTGTGATTTGTCATTATCTAACAGCTCAGTAAATCCTAGATTACTCCTGGTCTCAGGGGTTAGGTTGGATACAAGCTCTTGGGTTTTTCAAAGCTGGAGAAGGGGCTGAGTGGTCCTCTTGGTGATCATAGTAGAGAATGTTGTATATATCTTATACATTAATCACTCTGATTTTAAAGGTATGGCCATGAAGTTCCAAGAGAAGGAAAGCTTTGAAGGGAGAAATGTGTGTGGTGAATAAGATTGAGCTAGACATAGAATAGAGCCTGGAGAATCATAGAAAATCAAAAGATCTGATGAAGATCACACTTTAATGTGATATTGAATGAAAGAAACAAGATCCAGAAGCAAGAAAATGAAGGGAAAAAATAGCAAACCCAGGATAACCTTTAAACTTCAGAGTAAAATAGCAGCAGGAAAAGGAAGAGCCTGTCATAATGGCTGGCAGGGAGGAGCCTATGGACACACAGAAGAGTAGTATGTCTAAGACTGGTAAGATCAACTGCTGTTTGATTTCCCAATAGCCAGACAGTGGATTCTTCTGTGAAGGGAATTCCAGTGATGATGATACGATTCTGAAAGAAGAATTCAGAGGGGTTATCATCAAGCAGGGATGTTTACTGAAGCAGGTGAGTGGCCACCATAATTTTCCTTCTAGCCTTCCCCCTTACCAAGCCTTTTAGTCTTTTCTAAGTTACCAAATGGGAGCTGGGGATGGGGATGCATGATCAATCAGGGGAGTGTTGTGTGTTCAAGGACAGCCTTGACTACATAGCGTGGCTCTATCTCAAAAGACAAAACAAAAGAAACAAACAAAAAAGAAAAAATATTAAATGGTATTTAGGTTATTTGACCAATAATCAACAGAAAATGAAGTCAATAGAGTGAAAGGTAGACAAAAAGTTAAGTAGATGATCAATATAGTGTTAGGTTAGGAGTTGGGACAGACAGGGAGGAAAATGCCCCTAGAGATAACAAAATGCTTCCTTGATAATATCACAAGACAAAAAGGTTTTTAAAAAATTTTTTATTTAATATTTTAATTTCATGTGTATGAGTGTATTGCCTCCATGTATGCAATGCCTGCAGAGGTAAGAAGTGATGTCAGATCCCCTGGAACTGGAGTTATGCTACCATATGCATTCTGGGAATCAAACCCAGGTCTTCTACAAGAGCAGCCAGTGCTCTTAACCACTGAGACATCTCTCTAGCCCCAGACAAAAAGTATTTTAAGAGAATACTGCCCTTTTCTTTAACAGGAAGAAATAAATTGTGTGAGATGCCATTCAAAGACAAAGATATTTCATGGTAAAGTACTTCAAAGTCAATAGAAAATAGGAACAATCTATACCCATATGAAAATCTTTGCGGGTAAACAGGTTCTGTTCCAGACTGGAAAAGCCTGAGGAGACCCAAAACTAGGGCATGTCTGACGTCAGCTTCCTAAGACTAGTAGGCTGAAGCCAAATCCAATCGAGGGCATGGGAACAGTCTGGGGCATTGTGGGAAGTACACTAATTTCAGTTGTCCACAGTCAGTCAGTCTTGAAGGCAAGAGCTGAGGTTAGCTGAAGTGCTGTAGATACGTCCAGGTGCCAAGGCACATGATGATAAGAGATGAGAGAATACAAGGGCTGAAGATCAACAGGGAAGCCAAGACTAACATTTATAATAGGGAGAAGCAGCAAGAAGACATGAGAATATCCAGGGTGAAGCAAACTGCTTCTAGCACAGGATGTTATAGACGGCAAGACAGTGTTAGAAGGACAAGACCCCTTGTCTTTCTGGCTGTGCTGTGAAATTAAAAAAAAATATTGCTAGTTAGGACCTGTCTGCTAAAAGGATATTTGTGTACACTTGCTTTTTAAATTTCTTTGAGAATTTCACATATGAGTACTGTATTTACATCATTTCTATCTCTCCTTTCACCCCTCTAACTCCTCCCACCCCCCACTGCCTTTCAATTTCTTGTCCTCTTTTTTAAAATCTATCATTGTTACATATGCATGCATATTATATACTGTGTCCATTCAGTGGTGCTCATGTCTGCATGTGTTTAGGGCTGACTACTTGGTACTAGACGACCTATCATGGAGGTCATCCCTGGAGAAAACTGATTCTCCCTCAGGTCTTTCCTCCAAGACTGACTGTGTTATTTTTTTATTTTGTTGATTCCTTCTGTAATTCTATATTGCCACCAGCCATGCCTTGAATTTGTGGATCAGACAAACTCAATTTTTTTCTTTACCCTACTGGGGGTTGGATACCACGTCTTCATGTCCTAGGCAGGTGTTCTATAAGTTGATTACAATATCTAGCCACAAGTTCTAATCTTGAAATTACCTCTTAGAAAGCTGAGTATAAAGAGTGATAAAGGGAAATAATACCTGAGCTGGACTGCAATAATATCTGTGCAAAGCACCCAGTGTGAGACCTTGAAAAGTCAAATTTTAGTTGAAGGAAAGGGAACTTGCCTGTGTATTGAAGGCAAGGGGGAATATAAGTGAATGGCTTGGGTGTTTTCTTTTTTTTTTCCATTATCTAGGCTTTAGTAGATGCAGGTTATCCTTAAATAACCTAGTTGGGGTACACTTAAATCCCACAGGGAGCAATAAAACTTCTCTCTAGCTCAATTAAATTAAAGTCTCTGGATTTTTTTGTATGTTTTTATTCAATTTTTTGTGCGTTTCATAGAAAATATCTTAATTATCTTTATACCCTCTCCCCACATCTGCACCCCTCATAACCCCCTCACTGGATTTCATGCCTTCTGCCATATTTGTTAAGGCCTATTGAGTTGTTTGTGTACTAAGATGACCCTTATTGCAAGTTCATCTCTAGAGTCTAGTAGTAAGCCTAGCCAGAGACTCTCCCCTAAAGAAGATCAACTCTCCCTCACCCAGCAGTAATCAGCTGCCAATAGTTCTTTGGCTAAGGTTCAAGTCTGATGCCTATTTCCCAAGTTCTATTCTGGGTTTTTGTCTGCTTGAGTCTGCATGGGTCTTGTGCATGCTGACACCATTGCTGTAATATCATATGAGAAGGTTCCCACAGGCCTGGAAGACTGTTTCCTTATGATCATGCACCAACCCAGGCTCTTGCAATCCTTCTGCCACCTCTTCTGCAATGGTCTCTGAGGCATGGGTTGGTGAGGTTTCATGTAGGAGTTCTCTTTAGGGACACACTCTCTGCTGGCTCTTATTCTCTACATTTTGGCCAATTGTGGCCTTTTGTGTGTCTCCTTAGTACTCTGTTGCATGAGGAAACTGCTCTGGTGAAAGGGGAGAAATGCATAATATTCTTTCTATCCCCAGTTCTACTATGTTCAACAAGCCTTAGGTACAGAGGTTCCATTGTAGATGCATCACTTAAGATTGGGCAATTTCGCTCTGCTTCCCTGGGCCTGCACCACCGGCTAACTCTCCTAGCCTGCACTACTATCCTCAGGCCTCTTGGGGTAAGTCTATAGTGCAGATCTCTGCGCCGGGACTCCCTAAGCCACATTCACCCTTCCATCCCTCCCACC